ATGAATGACCCTTTCTTTCTTTCTTTCTTTCTTTCTTTCTTTCTTTCTTTCATTCATTCAGGGAGAGAGAGGCCTGCCTGCCTGCCTGCTTTTGGAGGGAGCCCCACACAAAAAGGGCACCACAAAAGGAGGGAAGCCTTTCAGCCCAACAGGAGGAGGAGGAGGAGGAGGAGAAAGCCTGGCAACTGGTCAAGAAGACCAGGACAAGGAGGAGGAGGAGGAGGAGGAGGAAGAGGGGGCACTGAGGGTCTTCCTGGGAAAGGTGGGCAGGGGCTGAGGCATAGAGATCCATACATTCACCCAGGCACTTAGGCCCTCCCCTCCTCCCCCCAGGTACTTTGGACTCCAACTCCCACCATTCCTAACAGCCTCAGGCCCTTTCCTTTCCTGAACGGGCTGAGGGGGGGAAAGGAAGGGGCCTGACTCGAGGCTATTAGGAATGGGGGGGTTCAAAACACCTGGAGAGACCAAGAAAGACCTCCTTGGTGACCTCCTTGACCATCCCAGGCCAGAGCTCCCTGTCAGCCATGGACATTATGTCACAACTGGACATAATGTCAGGGGAAAGCTTGACCTTGACGATTGCCCTTCAAAGCTTCCCCTGATGCAGAACAGCACACAGCTGTTTGACCGGCCCAAAGGGCTCTCTGGCCAATAATCATCATCATCATCATCATCATCATCATCATCATATCCTCAGCTGTTGCAAGAAAGTAGCACAGACGGACTACAAACAGAGGCACAACTCTGTGGCCCAAAGGATTCACTGGAACTTCTGTCACAAGGACCACCTGCCAGCAGCAAAGAATTGGTGGGATCATAAAGGTAGACTCTTCCCCTTTCATCTCCGGCTCTGCGGATTCAATGCCGAGAAACAACGAAACTCAGATAAACAGATAAAGGTAGAGGCTTCCCCTTTCATCTCCGGCTCTGCGGATTCAATGCCGAGAAACAACGAAACTCAGATAAACAGATAAAGGTAGAGGCTTCCCCTTTCATCTCCGGCTCTGCGGATTCAATGCCGAGAAACAACGAAACTCAGATAAACAGATAAAGGTAGAGGCTTCCCCTTTCATCTCCGGCTCTGCGGATTCAATGCCGAGAAACAACGAAACTCAGATAAACAGATAAAGGTAGAGGCTTCCCCTTTCATCTCCGGCTCTGCGGATTCAATGCCGAGAAACAACGAAACTCAGATAAACAGATAAAGGTAGAGGCTTCCCCTTTCATCTCCGGCTCTGCGGATTCAATGCCGAGAAACAACGAAACTCAGATAAACAGATAAAGGTAGAGGCTTCCCCTTTCATCTCCGGCTCTGCGGATTCAATGCCGAGAAACAACGAAACTCAGATAAACAGATAAAGGTAGAGGCTTCCCCTTTCATCTCCGGCTCTGCGGATTCAATGCCGAGAAACAACGAAACTCAGATAAACAGATAAAGGTAGAGGCTTCCCCTTTCATCTCCGGCTCTGCGGATTCAAACCGCCAACCTTCTGATCAGCAAGTTCAGCAGCCCAGCAGTTTAACCCATTGTGCCACCTTGGCCCTCTTGCTGGTGCTTCAGAGGAGGTCTCCACCAGCACTGTGGCCACAGGACTGGGCTGAATCCAGCCTGATCCAGCTCTCCATACCTCAGAAACACCAAGATCACCCCAGAGGTACCTGGAAGTTCTGGAGTCAGCTCTGCTTCCTCTTGCATGGGATTAAGGACCTTGACTGCAAGTCCAGCAAGATGTCTTGTGGGCCCTTTGCAGCATTTCCAAGGTGAGCAGCAGAAGTCCTGGGGCAGCAGTGGGGTTGTGGCAGTGGTGGCAGTGGATTCACGCTACATCCACTCTCAGGGGGAAGAGAGGGGCGGCTCAGTGGCCCACAAAGCATGAGCCATGGTCCATTGAGAGGCGGCTCCTAAGCACCAGCCAGAGTCCTGGGATCCTTGAGCATCCTCCCATCACATGAACCATTGCATGACCAGTGGTGGCCTTCCTCCTGGTCAGAGGGGATTGGTCGTGTCAAGAGCGACTTGAGAAACTGCAATCACTTCTGGTGTGAGGAAATTGGCCGTCTGCAAGGACGTTGCCCAGGGGACGCCTGGAAGTTTTTGATGTTTTATCATCCTTATAATGTAAATACCTGATATAGAATCATAGAATCATAGAATCAAAGAGTTGGAAGAGACCTCATGGACCATCCAGTCCAAACCCCTGCCAAGAAGCAGGAATATTGCATTCAAATCACCCCTGACAGATGGCCATCCAGCCTCTGTTTAAAAGCTTCCAAAGAAGGAGCCTCCACCACACTCCGGGGCAGAGAGTTCCACTGCTGAACAGCTCTCACAGTCAGGAAGTTCTTCCTCATGTTCAGATGGAATCTCCTTTCTTGTAGTTTGAAGCCATTGTTCCGCGTCCTAGTCTCCAGGAAGCAGAAAACAAGCTTGCTCCCTCCTCCCTGTGGCTTCCTCTCACATATTTATACATGGCTTTCATCATATCTCCTCTCAGCCTTCTCTTCTTCAGGCTAAACATGCCCAGTCCTTAAGCCGCTCCTCATAGGGCTTGTTCTCCAGACCCTTGATCATTTTAGTCACCCTCCTGGACACATTCCAGCTTGTCAATATCTCTCTTGAATTGTGGTGCCCAGAATTGGACACAATATTCCAGGTGGTGTGGTCTAACCAAAGCAGAATAGAGGGGTAGCATTACTTCCTTAGATCTAGACACTAAGCTCCTATTGATGCAGGCCAAAATCCCATTGGCTTTTTTTGCTGCCACATAACATTGTTGGCTCATGTTTAACTTGTTGTCCACGAGGACTCCAAGATCTTTTTCACACATACTGCTCTCGAGCCAGGTCCCCCATTCTGTATCTTTGCATTTCGTTTTTCCTGCCAAAGTGGAGTATCTTGCATTTGTCACTGTTGAACTTCATTTTGTTGTTTTGGCCCATCATCTCTCTAATCTGTCAAGATCGTTTTGAATCCTGCTCCTGTCCTCTGGAGTATTGGCTCTCCCTCCCAATTTGGTGTCGTCTGCAAACTTGATGACCTTGCCTTCTAACCCTTCATCTAAGTCATTAATAAAGATGTTGGGGATGGGATGGGAGGTGATGGGAGAAGGGCTCCGTGTCCACCTAGGCCTTGGTCCAATGATGCACTCTCTCTCCGGGTTGGCCGTGGGCTAGTTGTTGGTCCAGGCCAGGGCCCCTCCTTTTTGGCCGCACTTCCGCAGCCCTGCCCTTGGCTTGCCGTTTGGTCCTGCCTGGACCTTCTCTCCGGGCTCCTCCTCTGCGTGGCTCCTGCTTCCTGGCTCCAGTTCACGTCCAAGGGCACGGGTGGCCTAGTCAGCCTCTTGGCAGCCCATGTGGCGGAACACCGCTCAACGCTTCTCGCCTTCTGTCCGTTCCGGTTCATTCCATCCGGCATTGAATTCCCCCTTAATGCTCCCTTAATACTGTGGGGAGACCAGGTGGGGAACATCCGGAAAGTGCTGCCATCTGCCAAGAGGCTGTTTCTGGCCTCATTCCGAAGGGCTGGAGAGGGCTTGGTTGGGAGCTGGCCTCAGCCTGGCTCAGAGCACAGATGCCCAAGAAGGGGGCAAGAGGGAGTGTACTTGTGGCCATTGATACATGGAGTGGGGTGGGCCACAGCGGGACCCAGGGACATTGGTCAGAGCTGATTGGAAGCGGAGCGGCAAGGAGCACCCAAAACTTCAGGAAAGCCAAACTCCTTTGCAAGGTGCCGCCTGAGATCTCCTGAGCCCGGCTTCTGGGAGGCCCAATTAGCTGTTAACTAGGAAGCCTCCAGGCAGAGGCAAAGGAAACCATGACGAAACGGGGCTGGGAAATGGAAAGGAGGATGAAAAGACCAGAACTGGCCAATTGCAGTTTTAGAGAGCGTTTGGAAGGGTTGCCTGGCCCACAGAGCTATCACCAGAGGGCTAGCTGGCGCTGCTGCGGGGAACGTGCACCCTATGTATTGTCGAAGGCTTTCATGGCTGGAATCACTAGGTTCTTGTGGGTTTTTTTGGGCTATAGGCCATGTTCTAGAGGCATTTCTCCTGACGTTTCGCCTGCATCTATGGCAAGCATCCTCAGAGGTAGTGAGGTCTGTTGGAATTAGGACAATGGGTTTATATATCTGTGGAATGACCAGGGTGGGACAAAGAGCTCTTCTCTGCTGGAGCTAGGTGTGAATGTTTCAACTGACCACCTTCATTAGCATTTGAAGGCCTGGCTGAGCCTGGGAAAATCTTTTGTTGAGAGGTGTTAAGATGTGCCTGGTTGTTTCCTCTCTGCTGTTTTGCTGTTGTAATTTTAGAGTTTTTTAATACTGGTAGCCAGATTTAATACTGCCAGTATTAAAAAAAACTCTAAAATTACAACAGCAAAACAGCAGAGAGGAAACAACCAGGCACATCTTAACACCTCTCAACAAAAGATTTTCCCAGGCTCAGCCAGGCCTTCAAATGCTAATGAAGGTGGTCAGTTGAAACATTCACACCTAGCTCCAGCAGAGAAGAGCTCTTTGCCCCACCCCAGCCATTCCACAGATATATAAACCCATTTTCCTATTTCCAATAGACCTCACTACCTCTGAGGATGCTTGCCATAGATGCAGGCGAAACGTCAGGAGAAATGCCTCTAGAACATGGCCCTATAGCCCGAAAAAACCCACAAGAACCTAATGCACCCTATGTCTCCCTCACTGCAAAAGCTCCAGGGTCCTTGCAGCCAAAATTCAGGGGAATGAAGCCAAATCTCCCCTTTGAGGCTGCCCAGCCCTGCGACCCCCAAGAGAGCCCCCTCTGCCCCCCTGTTCATCTTCACAGCCATGGCTGGTACCAATGTCAGGTAGGGCTCTGGAGCCTTTTCCCAGGGAGGAACACATGGATCCCTCCATCAATCCTGTTCATCTTTTGTCTGTATTGCCCCCAGTGTTGGGGCAAAGAGGGGTGTCCATAACCTCCATGGCCCCTTACTCTCGTCTCACTATCATGCCCCCTTACCTCTGTGGCGGGGCCCTTCCCTTGCAGGTCCGGCAGCCTCTTCTCCAGGGTGTCCAGCCAGTGGCGCAGGGACAGCAGCTGCTCTCGCACCCCGGGACCATGCGCCTTCCACTCCTCCCTCGGCCAGTCCCTGCAGCGGGTGGGAAAGCACACTCAGGTCACACACTTGCTGCAGAGCAGATTCAGACTTGTCCCCACATCCTGATTTTTGTTGGGTTTCCTCCCTGACGGCACAACTCTCCAGTCCTCAATGAGTACTTAGCCTAGACAGAATTAGAGTGAGGGATTCCTTCCCCAAATTCCTATGCGTGCCTATCTCAGAAAGGGCTTTGAAGGGGTTTTGTCTCACTCTTCCTCCTTGCCACTATCTCTTCCTCCTTTGAATACTTAGCAATGTGATACCTGTGAGGGACGAGGTAACTTCCTCTTTAAAGGTATTTGGATAGCCCTGGCTTAATTGCCCTGTTTTTGGCCAGGTGGTCATTCCCTAACCCTAACCCCCCCCCCCCTTTCCTCCTGGTGGCTAAATCACTGAATTGGAAGAGGCTCCCAAGGGCCACCCAGCCCAATCCCCCACCAGGTAGGAAGACACAATCAAAGCAGTCCTGACAGATGGCCCTCCAGCCTCTGCTGAAAAACTCCAGAGAAGGAGGGTCCACCTGACACTGAGACAGCCGCCAATTTCACTGTCAAACCATTCCATCACAATGTTCTTCCTAATCTTTAGGAGGAATCCATGGCTCCATTGTGTCCTAGTCTCCAGAGCAGAATCCTAGAGTTGGAAGAGTTGGAAGATGGGCCATCCAGTCCAGCTCCATTCTGCCAAGAAGCAGGAATACTGCATTCAAAGCACCCCTGACAGATGGCCATCCAGCCTCTGTTTAAAAGCTTCCAAAGAAGGAGCCTCCACCACACTCCGGGGCAGAGAGTTCCACTGCTGAACAGCTCTCACAGTCAGTAAGTTCTTCCTCATGTTCAGGTGGAATGTCCTTTCTTGTAGTTTGAAGACATTGTTCCATTTTGTCCTAGTCTCCAGGGCAGCAGAAAGGAAGCTTGATCCCTCCTCCCTATGACATCCTCTTACATATTTATACATGGCTATCATGTCTCCTCTCTGCCTTCTGTTATTTAGCCTAAACATGCCCAGCTCTTTAAGCTGCTCCTCATAGGGCTTGTTCTCCAGACCCTTTATCATTTAAGCTGTCCCTCTCCTTAATAAACATCCTAATATTTAAGCATGGCTCTCATGTGCCCTTCTCTCAATTTTTCTTCTGCAAGCTAAACATATCCAGCCATTCCAAATGCAACAGAGGGCTCTTGTAGCTCATTTGGGCCTGAGAGCTCACCTGGGCCATCTTTGGGGAAATGCCCTGACTCTGCAAGAAAGTGCCTGCGTTGCCTGCACCTGCTCCATGCTTATGTGCTTCCCCTGCCATGATGTTCCCATTTGGGCTGGCAAAGACTCCTGTCTGGAACCCCAATGAACTGCTGCCAGTCGGTGCTCAAATCCCTTTTGGTGTTACTCATGCACAAGTTGTTCAGGCCTGCAGAACCAGAGTTGTGCTGGTGATGCTATGGAGGCCGGTGTGTATTGTGCACTGCTCAGTTGCTGGTTGAGGTGAGCATTGAGCATGAAGGTGTGCATTTGATTGACACTTGATTGCACAATATTGCAACTTGCTAATACGGCGGCTCTGCATAGCTGTCATATAACTCAGGGAGCCCCATGATGTGAGATTTTGGTCTCTGTGGGTGTTGCAATGTGGACTGGCAGGGGGTTGGACTGGATGGCCCATGAGGTCTCTTCCAACTCTTTGATTCTAGGGTCCACTTTGGCCTGCTGTGTTTAGGCAACAACAGAGAGTGTGTGGAGGTACAACTTGTAAGATTGTGTGTGTTATGTCTGCAAGTGAAGAGCTGGTCCCATGGCCAGAACAAAGGGCAGCGCACCTGTGCGCATGTATGTATGTATGTGATGGAGAAAGCACTCTGGTGCTTGCCTGCATGGATGGTGGCGAGGAAAACTTCCTCAGCAAGGCAAGGGAGAAGCACTGGGCCTCCAAGGTGCTGCTGGGATGAAGGCAAAGGCTTCCTCTGCATCATTTGAAGGAGATTGAGGCACACCTGGCTGTGTCTCCTCTCCACCTGGTCTACGTAGAGCTCAAGTGGGTATATCCTCCAGGTGCCAAGGTGCCAAGGCTGCTAGCAAAGATCAGGGGATCCCCACACCGCCCTGGGAGTCCACAGCCCTCCTGCACTTTGTGAGGACTGGCCTTTGGAGCAGGATTTGGGGCCTGCCATGAGCTGGAATCCCTTCTCCTCGTGTGCCGTAGGGATTCTTGGCAGAGCAGGTGGCTCTTCTTGCGGTCAAGGGGGGGGGGGTCCCTCCTGAAGCAGCAGTTGAGCATTGGATCTCCCCTTGACCCAACAGGCAGGAAGCAGTGCCAGAAAGCAGGGTCAAAGTCAAAACAGTGCCAACCTGAGCCACGTGAGGAGGAGCCACAGCATGTCATCTCTCCAGTTTCAAACAGCCAAAAGGCAGGGAGATTTCAGGAGGCAGAGTCAGGTGAGATCAAACTCTGACAGATCAGCTGTGGGAAGGTGGCCACATTTTTCAATAGATCTAATCAAGGTGTGACGAATTTGGGATTGAAGACTCGACTTGCTAAGCATGGCTTCCCAAGGACCAGGTTGTAAAGGAGAGAGACTGGTGGTTATCGTGTGGAGGAGCACTCACACTTAGGCAATCCCTCATTGTCCAAGTAGGATAGTCTTCCAAGATCAGTGTCCTGGCGGTGGGTCCGTAGGTGACTGTGGAGCCCTATTCTTGATCTGCATCTTCTCCCGCAGTGAAGACATTGCTTTCAAGGTGGAAGGTAGTCCTGGTCGGGGTTGGCTTGACACGCCTTCCTCTTGGCACACTTCTCTCTTTTGCCCTCCATTCGTGCCTCTTCAAATTCTACAGTACTGCTGGTCACAGCTGACCTCCAACTGGAGCACTCAAGGGCCAGGGTTTCCCAATTCTCGGTGTCAATGCCACAGTTTTTAAGGTTGGCTTTGAGCCCACATCATTCCATCTCTTTTCCTGCCCTCCAACATTCTGTTTTTCTTTCTTGAGTTCGGAGTAGAGCAACTGCTTTGGGAGACGGTGGTCGGGCATCCGGACAACGTGGCCAGTCCAGCAAAGTTGGACTGATCCACGGCAACAGGAACGTCCATACCTTCTCAGTGGAAAGCTGATCATCTTCGTCTGGAGAAGGCCTGTGTGTGCGTGAGTATGAATGAATGTGTGTGTGTACAAGAGCTCCCCTTGATGTGATTCTAATGTGATTCTGTGATGATTGTAATTCAATAAATGTTACATGAATAGTGGCAAAACCAAATTTGGTCTCTAAAGTGTCTCATTGATCTAAACTACCTTGCTATTCCTTATACACTCTGCATAAAAGAACAGGAACCTCTTTGGGTTCATAACAATTGCGGACGACCATCGCTTCAATGCTGGTGGTCTTTGCTTCTTCCAGAATGCTGACATTTCCCTGCCTGCCTTCTCAAGAGATCTGCAGGATTTTCAGGAGACAAAATCATTCCAGGAGTTGCATGTGATGTCTGTAGACAGTCCACGTTTCGCAGGCATAGAGCAGGGTTGGGAGGACAATAGCTTTATAAACAAGCCCCTTGGTCTCCTTACGGATGTCCCGGTCCTCAAACACTCTCTGCTTTTTTCGGGAAAAAGCTGCACTTGCAGAGCTCAGGCGGAGGAGCAGCCACCTACACAGCTGCAAGGTCCTTGCTCCAGGTTGACAAGTGCCACGTATGTTGCCCACTCTCCTTTGGAGCCTCAGCCAAGAGGCCTCTCTGCAGCTTCATCTTCAGCACCAATGGCCTGATGTGGGGCAGGCTGTGGGGAACTTGAACATGGCCCTTCTTCCCCTTCCTTCCACTGGGTTTCGTGGAGGCACACCACATCGGGGGACTGTGGAGCAATTCAGAACTGAAGCAACTGGAATACGCTGCCTGGGAGTCTAGTTGAGTCTTCTTCTCTGGAGGCTGTATCTGTTGGGAGAGCTTGGATTGTGCAGAAGGGGGTCAGACTGGGTGGCCTTTGGGGCCTCTTCCAACTCTAGGATTCTATGAGCTCTGGAAGTCTTTGGGGTATACTTTTGAAGAGGGGCACAACAGGCACTGGGTCTCCAGTCCCTTTCTTGTAGACGTGTAAGGGAGACACACTCACACAGAGAGCGCCCTTCTTTCTCCTTGCCCCAGCCCCAAGCCCCCTCTCCCTCCTTTGTCTGAAGCCGTGCCATTTACAACTTGTTGCTTCCCCGGCTGCCTTTCCCCTCCTGCTCTGTCCTTTGGCCCACTTGGTGTTCAGGGTTTGTTGGGAATGTAAATGGCCTTGTTCAAATGTACTCTCTGTTCACCGGCCATGCAGCCCGGCTGTCTGTGGGGTGGTTTTCAAGCCCCCTCCTCTCCCTTAAGGGTGGGTGCACTCCTCCAAACTGACTCCTGGCTACAAGCTCTTTCTTTCCTTCAGTTGTTTCCTACAGAGTGGAATCCTTCCCCTGAAGCTGTTGGCGCCGGTAGAAGATTCCCCCAGCCCACCCAGAACAGGGTCGCCCTTGGCAGAGGGATTTTCTCAAACGCTGACGCAGATCACATTAATTGCCCACCCCCATCATAAGAAACCGCCTTGAAAGAAGCTTCCCTGGGAGTCCGGAGGGACGGGGAGGTGGGCACAGGTTGCGGGTGGTCAGGGGGCAGTGCCGCTTGTGCAGAGTTGCAAACACACAGTGCTTTGGAGCACCGAAAAAGATGAGCCAGGAGCCCAATCTTCTCTGCAGGCTGTTTGGCATGGAAGGATGCCAAGGGCAAGCTGGCATGGGTTAAGCCCATGTAAAGGGCAGCTTCCACTTCATTTAATGCATTCGGGGAGCAGACTGGCACCACTGCTGTTGCCAGATGCCAAGGCAGGCTGCTTCGGTTTCTGCAAAGCTGACTCTTCCCTCACAGAGGCCCAGGCCTGCCTGGCACGGTGTCTCTCAGGGATGCCCAATGGCAGGGTCCTTGCAGCCCTGGGACAGAGACAGGAGGCTGCCTACAGGTTTGGTCCTCTTTGTTTACAATGGGTTTGCACAATCTGGAGAAGCTTCCTTCATTCATTCCTTTGGAGGGGAGGGAGTGAACGCCTCTTGCAGTCTTGGCAGAAGGGCCGGGGAGGGGCATCGTTCAGTGCCAAGGGTTCGAGCTTGGCATGCTGAGCATGCCATCCATTCCAGTTAACAGGCTCAGCCCTCTCTTGCAGCACACCCTCTCCGTGAGGCCACACAGACACACATCACTGAAGGCATGGGGTTTGACCTTCCAAGCCCAGGCAAATTCCTTCCCCATGGTATGTTCCTGTCTGTTCATTACATGAAGACAACGTGGCTTTGTGGCCACACGGCAAAGGCACATGAGGGGCTTGGTTTGTCCTTTGCACGAAGGCCACTTGCACAACCTTGTGCTGCAGGCAAGGCTCCCCCATGGAGACACCCCAAAGGCAGCCTGGCTCCTCTGAGGATGGGAACCTCTTCCCTCCGGCCTCCGGCTGAGCCAGACTGAGGGATGCAGGACATGCCTTTTTGTGTCTCATAGAATCCTAGAATCAAAGAGTTGGAAGAGACCTCCTGGGTCATCCAGTCCAACCCCCTGCCAAGAAGCAGGAATATTGTATTCAAATCACCCCTGACAGATCATAGAATCATAGAATCAAAGAGTTAGAAGAGACCTCATGGGCCGTCCAGTCCAACCCCATTCTGCCAAGAAGCAGGAATATTGCATTCAAATCACCCCTGACAGATGGCCATCCAGCCTATGTTTAAAAGCTTCCACAGAAGGAGCCTCCACCACACTCCGGGGCAGAGAGTTCCAGTGCTGAACAGCTCTCACAGTCAGGAAGTTCTTCCTCATGTTCAGATGGAATCTCCCTTCTTGTCGTTTGAAGCCATTGTTCCCTTGCGTCCTCGTCTCCAGGGAAGCAGAACACAAGCTTGCTCCCTCCTCCTCCCTGTGGCTTCCTCTCACATATTTATACATGGCTATCATGTCTCCTTTCATCCTTCTCTTCTTCAGGCTAAACACACGCAGCTCCTTAAGCCACTCCTCATAGGGCTTGTTCTCCAGACCCTTGATCATTTGAGTCGCCCTCCTCTGGACACATTCCAGCTTAGAGTCAATATCTCTCTTGAATTGTGGTGCTCAGAATTGGACACAATATTCCAGGTGTGGTCTAACCAAGGCGGAATAGAGCATGGGGAGCATGACTTCCCTGGATCTAGACACTAGGCTCCTCTTGATGCAGGCCAGAATCCCATTGGCTTTTTTTGCCGCCACATGACATTCCTGGCTCATGTTTAACTTGTTGTCCATGAGGACTCCAAGATCTTTTCCACACGTCCTGCTCTCGAGCCAGGCATTGTCCCCCGATTCTGTAACTTTGCATTTCGTTTTTTCTGCCTAAGTGGAGTCTCTTGCATTTGTCACTGTTTGTCTCCATCCTCCTTGCTTTGTTGACAGGCTGCAAAGGAAAAAGGTGCCACTTCTGTCCACTTTCCCTTCTCCCAGGCAAAAGGTTAACCCTCCTCCTGCAGGTTAACCCCTCTCTCTTAAAATCCCAATTTAACTTGTTCTTGTGAATGAAGGTTGTCATCTCTATTGGGGACCTCCACTCAATTGCACAGACTAAGACGATGCACATTTAAGATAGCTCACTGCCAAGCAGGGATGCTCACTTTGCCACCTAAAACCATATTTGGGCTGACTTCGACCTCGCCCCCCAGGTGCCACTGAGGCCACCTGGACTGCATCAGTGTGAAAAGGGGGAGGCTGTGAGTTAGAAACTGGAGCATCATCCATTGTAGTGCTTGCATGCCTCCATCGGGATCTGTGGGGCATCTACATGTCTCTTTCCCTGAGTGATGAGAAGACGGGAATTTCTCTGTTTTCCTTTTTAATCGCAGCCCTAGAGGAGGACTTGGAGCCCAGCTTTTCCCAGGCAATGCACGCAGGATACGGGTTCTCCTCTCTCCTTTGGGTCTGAGTGTGCGCCATGCACACAGGTACAGAGATATGGTGTTTTGGCATTTAGGAGGCTCCACCTAAAGATTAGGAGAACCTTGGATGGTAAGGGCTGTTTGGTAGCGGATTATTCTTCCTGGGAGTCTGATGGGGTCTCCTTCTTTCTCTGGAGGTTCTTAAGCAGAGTCTGATGGCCATCTGTCAGGTGGGCTTGGATTGTGCCTTCCTTCCTTGCAGAAGGATTGTGCCTTCCTTCTTGCACTGAATGGCTCTTGGGGCCCCTTCCAACTTTGTAGTCTTGTGATTCTAATTAAAGGTAAAGGTTTCCTCTTGATGTGAAGTATAGTTGTGTTCAACTCTGGGAGTTGCTGCTGATCTCCATTCCTAAGTCAAAGAGCCAGCATTGTTCATAGACATCTCCAAGGTCATGTAGCAGGCATGACTGCATGGAGCGCCATTACCTTCCCGCTGGAGCGGTACCTATTGATCTACTCATTTGCATGTTTTTGAACTGCTAGGTTGGCAGAAGCTGGGGCTAACAGTGGGAGATTCAAATTGCCAACCTTTCAGTCAGCAAGCCCAGCAGCTCAGCGGTTTAACCTGTTGCACCATCATGGGGTCCATGATCATAATTAGAAAGGTTAAGTATCAGCCTGTCAAGGGAGCCACTTGCACCTTGGCTTACAAAAGCTGATGTTGCCCATTCTGTTCTCCCAATTAGTCTCTAAAGCGGTGCCTAGAAAAGGGCCAGGTGGTCAGAGGATCCATTTGCCAAGGTACCCAGCTGGGAAAGGCAAGGCTGGGAGGGCAGTATAGCTTTGGGTTGATGCCAGGGACCCCCTCCTGGGTCCCCTTCCCACCTTTCCCCAAAAGGCCTGATCCCTGAAAAGCCCCCCAAGACTCATCCCAAGAGGTCTAAACTGGGGCCCTTCTCCCCTGTTGTCTTCCTTGGGCTGATTTTTCTGCTGTCACCTGTCACCCCCTTGGGGCAGAGCCTGGCCCACGTTTTCCTCCCCAAGGAGCTCCTCCTTGCCCTGTTTTGCACAGCGAAGGGCCCGCCCAAGAGGCCTTGGTGGGACCAAGCCGGCTAGTCGGGTTCCCTGCTGCCTGGGAGCCTCTCTAACCAGCCTGGCGGGTCTCCTCCTACCTTTCTCTAGCTGGAGACGGGGCACCTGGGCACGCTCCTGAGAGATCAGCCGGATGATCCCTGCTGGGCAATCTCTGCAGGGGAAACAAACAGTGAAACACACACACAGGTGTCCTTGCCCCGACCCCCCCTGGCCGGCCCCTCTCCTCCCAACGACCCTCCCTTCTGCCGCTGCCCTACAAAGCCTTCCTCACCTGCTGCTGCCCTACAAAGCCTTCCTCACCTGCTGCTTCCCAAAAGAATGGCAAAAATGAAGAAGCAACACAAACTGAGCATCTCCAAAGGACAATGGGATGAGAGAAAGGCTTGGATTCTTGTCATAGCCATGCTGATGGTCAAAGGCAACTTGGCTGGGGTTATACTAGCAAGGACGCGATGGAGGAAAGAAGGGGTCTCTTTGTACACAACCAGCCATCCCATCACCCTCCTTCGGGACCCCCAAATCGGCCTCTCTGCTCCCCAGTCCCCTGGAGAAGAGCTTGTTTCATCCTCAGCCAGGCATTTGTTGTTGTTGTTGTTTGTTTGTTTATGTAAAGCATGTATATTCCGCCCTTCTCACCCCAACACAGGGGTCTCAGGGTGGAACACAACAAACATATAAATGGCAAACATGTACTGCTGAAACATACTAGACCATACACATATAAAAGCATTAAAATCACTTATCTTGACGTTAAAATCCTCTAGTCAAAACTGTCTCGACAACCCTATCGAATTTGGTTAGCATAAGAGTTCCTGTTGCTGCCTCATTGCACAGTACCTCAGGAAGGCYGATCTGGCCAAGGTGGCCCARGCCTTAGTCACCTCTAGACTGGACTACTGCAATGCACTCTACYTGGGGCTGCCCTTGAAAACGGCCCGGAAATTTCAGATGATCCAACGGGCGGCATCCAGGTTGTTAACTGGGGCTCCTTACAGGGAYCGGTCATTCCTCCTGTTCAAGGAGCTCCACTGGCTGCCATTCATCTACCGGACCCAATTCAAGGTMCAGGTTCTTACCTATAAAGCCCTGAACGGTTTGGGACCTGCCTACCTACGTGATCGCATCTCTGTATACGAACCCACACGATCCCTTCGATCTTCTGGAGAGGCCCTGCTCTTGATCCCACCAGCATRGCAGGCGCGTTTYGTGGGGACGAGGGAGAGGGCCTTTTTGGTGGTGGCCCCTCGATTCTGGAACTCACTCCCTAAAGACATCAGACAGGCCCCAACCCTGGCAGTCTTCAGGAAGAGCTTGAAGATGTATGTGGCTGTTTCAGCGTGCCTTCCCYGAATAAGGAATCCCATAGCACTTTGTCCTCTAAAGCACTTTACATTTCCCTGAGTCTGCTTGTATGCCCTCCACAAACACTAGTATCACTTTTCGCTTATGGCCCAGCATTATTTCCAATTTTAACTCTACATTTGGCCTTCCCACTGTTTTAATTATGTGTTGCTTTTTGATAATGTTGTGTATTTTATTGTCTATGTTTTTAATTGCTTGTATTGATGTTTTATTGCTTTTGTTGTTGTGTTGGGCTCGGCCTCATGTAAGCCGCACCAAGTCCCTTGGGGAGATGGTACCGGAGTACAAATAAAGTTAATAAATAAATAATAATAAATAATACAGTCCCAAAGGCTCGGTCCCACAGCCCAGTTTTTATCATCCTTCTAAAGGAAAAGAGGGAGAGGGCTGTCCTGATCTCATTAGGAAGGGAGTTACGTAGACGAGAGGCAATCACCGAGAAGGCCCTGTCTCTCGTCCCTACCAATCGTGCTTGTGACAATGGCGGGACGGAGAGCAGGGCCTTCCCAGAAGATCTTAATCTCTGCGGTAGTTCATAGGGGGAGATACGTTCGGACAGGTAATTTGGGCCAGGGCCGTTGAGGGCTTGATAGGCCAAAGCCAGCACTTTGAATTGTGCTCGGTAGCAAACTGGCAGCCAGTGGAGCTGGTGTAACATGAGAGTTGTGTGCTCCTTGTACGCCGCTCCAGTTATCAACCTGGCTGCCTCTCGCTGGGGTATTTGAAGCTTCCGAGCAGTCTTCAAAGGCAACCCCACATAGAGGGTGTTGCAGTAGTCTAACCTAGATGTAACGAGAGCATGGACCACCGTGGCCAAGTCTGACTTCCCAAGGTATGGGCGCAACTAGCGCACAAGTTTTAACTGTGCAAAAGTCCCCCCAGCCACTGCTGCAACCTGAGATTCCAGGCTCAGTTATGAGTCCAGGAGGACCGCCAAGCTGCGAACCTGTGTCTTCAAGGGGAGTGGATCCCCATCCAGCACAGGTTGCTGTTGTTCTCTAGGAAAGCAGAGCAGCTCTCGGATCAAGGTGAAATAGTGATCACCGTGGGAGACGGGATATTTGCTTCCAACCGGAAAATGATGCAGAGTGGAGTGGAGGGCAGTGCCTGGCACCACAACAGCCGGTAGGGTGTTAGGAATGGTGGGAGTTGAAGTCCAAAAACACCTGGAGGGAGGGCTGAAGTTGGCCCATGCCTGTTCTGGACCCAGAATATTTGGCACAGAAAAGTACCTTAGGATGAACCTCACGCAGGGACAGAGAATCACTTTGACCAGAGATACATATGGCAAGACAGCTTACCTGTCCGAACGGATCTCCCTCTACGAACCCCTAAGGACCCTAAGATCATCTGGAGAGGCCCTACTCTTGGTCCCATTGCTATTGCTGTCGCGCTTGGTGGGAACAACAGACAGGGCCTTCTCAGTGGTGGCTCCTCAGCTGTGGAACTCCCTCCCTAATGAGATCAGATCTGCCCCCTCCCTCATGACCTTCCGGAAGAAGCTCAAACCNAGGAAGGAGGGAATGGGGAGGAAGGGAGACACAGTGTTTGCTCTTTCTCTCTTCCCAGAAGTGATGGAGACCTACCAGTTTTCGTTGCCATAGACTTCTTCCTTAACCAAGCCCAGCTATTTTGTGCCACTCTTCCCTTCCTCCTCGGTCTTAATTTGGTTATAATTTGCAACTCCATTAATTCGTAACCAAAGTTGGCACTTTTCTAGCATAGTTTTATATGGGGCGGGGGTATATAAACTATTTCTTACCATGTAGTAATATTGTGATGAGAAACTAACTGCGACAGTTCTGAGCTACTCTTTTATAGTCAACACTCACAAAAGTAACAGAAAAAGCACTATTTGGGTCAGTTAATGATGATCTATTTATTATTTATTTATTTATTTATTTATTTATTTATTTGGTGCATTTGTTGACCGCCGCTCTCAGCCCTAGGGTGACTCGCGGCGGTGTACAACATATAAAAGGCAAATTACAAAAGGCAATACAAAACAGCATATCCACAATACAACAATTATATAATTACACTAAATGATCCGCTCCGTCTCATAGTAGAATCATAGCCAAGCTCATAATCCAAATTCCGTTCCAGTTGTCTTGCCAAAACTAATTGTAGCATTTAATTAAATGCCTGCTCGAATAGCCATGTCTTTAAGCCTTTACGAAAAGACATAAGGGAGGGCGCCTGTCTGATGTCTACAGGGAGAGAGTTCCACAGCCGGGGGGCCACCACCGAGAAGGCCCTCTCTCTCATCCCCACCAGGCGTGCCTGTGAGGCAGGCGGGATCGAGAGAAGGGCCTCCCCGGACGATCTTAAGGCCCTCGTGGGCACGTAGGCCAAGATGCGGTCTGACAGGTATTTTGGGCCGGAACCGTTTAGGGCTTTGTAGGCTAACACCAGCACCTTGAATTGGGCCCGGTAGCAGATCGGCAGCCAGTGGAGCTGGGACAGCAAGGGCGTTGTATGCTCCCTGTATCCCGCTCCAGTTAGTAACATGGCTGCCGCGCGCTGGACTAGCTGAAGCTTCCGGGCCGTCTTCAGGGGCAGCCCCACGTAGAGAGCGTTGTAGTAGTCAAGGCGGGATGTGACCAGAGCGTGTACCACTGTGGCCAAGTCAGACCTCCCGAGGTACGGGCGCAGCTGGTGCACGAGCCGAAGCTGTGCAAATGCTCCCCTAGTCACCGTTGAAACCTGGGGATCCAGGCTCAACGATGAATTCAGGATCACACCCAAGCTGCGAACCTGCGCCTTCAAGGGGCCAAGCTCATAATCCAAATTCCGTTCCAGTTGTCTTGCCAAAACTAATTGTAGCATTTAATTAAATGCCTGCTCGAATAGCCATGTCTTTAAGCCTTTACGAAAAGACATAAGGGAGGGCGCCTGTCTGATGTCTACAGGGAGAGTGTTCCACAGCCGGGGGGCCACCACCGAGAAGGCCCTCTCTCTCGTCCCCACCAGGCGTGCCTGTGAGGCAGGCGGGATCGAGAGAAGGGCCTCCCCGGACGATCTTAAGGCCCTCGTGGGCTCGTAGGCCAAGATGCGGTCTGACAGGTATTTTGGGCCGGAACCGTTTAGGGCTTTGTAGGCTAACACCAGCACCTTGAATTGGGCCCGGTAGCAGGTCGGCAGCCAATGGAGCTGGTACAACAAGGGCGTTGTGTGCTCCCTGCGTCCCGCTCCAGTTAGTAACATGGCTGCCGCGCGCTGGACTAGCTGAAGCTTCCGGGCCGTCTTCAGGAGCAGCCCCACGTAGAGAGCGTTGCAGTAGTCAAGGCGGGATGTGACCAGAGCGTGTACCACCGTGGCCAAGTCAGACCTCCCGAGGTACGGGCGCAGCTGGCGCACGAGCCTAAGCTGTGCAAATGCTCCCCTGGTCACCGCTGAAACCTGGGGATCCAGGCTCAACGATGAATCCAGGGTCACACCCAAGCTGCGAACCTGCGTCTTCAGGGGGAGTGCGACCCCATCCGACACAGGCTGTAACCCTATACCCTGTTCGGCCTTGCGACTGACCAGGAGTACCTCTGTCTTGTCTGGATTTAGTTTCAGTTTGTTCGCCCTCATCCAGACCATCACAGCGGCCAAGCACCGGTTCAGGACTTCGACAGCCTCCTTAGTAGCAGGTGGAAAGGAGTGACAGAGTTGGACATCATCTGCGTACAGATGACACCGCACCCCGAAACTCACCATATGTTTGTCTGTCCATCCTATCTATCCAGCCATCCACCCATCCATCCATACATCCCAACTCATCATTCCTAACAGCCTCAGGCC